TTAAGTATCAGATAGAACGACTTAGATACTATACACAGACACTTACAGCATCAATGACATGACTCACACCCAAGTATATCACATTAGTAATTTTTAAGATATTTGAGATAAAGAAAAAGTCTCAAAACTTCTGAGAAAGAAGATCATGGGGGCCTGGGGATGAGGGGTGCAGCTCATGGATCACATGGCAGTCCGTCAGCAAAACCAACAAAGTCAGAAACTAACACCCCAAATTAAATTATCCTAATGGTTTTCTTTGAACCAAAAAGTTGATTCTGAAAACTGAGTGAAGGTTAAATAAAAACCATGTGGGAAGCACCTTCCTGAATCATTCTACAGCAAGAGTAAAGTTATAACTAACTGCTACTGAGTCAGAAGTTAGCACTGAAAACAAGACACATCAGTGAGAATGAGTATTAACTTCAACAGATCTGAAGTTCAATTTACATCAACAGCAGGTATTATTATTATTATTATTATTATTATCATCCTCTTGGTTTTTCGCGACAGTGTTTCTCTGTAGCTTTGGAGCCTATCCTGGCACTCGCTCTGGAGACAAGGCTGGCCTCGAACTCATAGAGATCCACCTGCCTCTGCCTCCTGAGTGCTGGGATCAAAGGTGAGCGCCACCAACACCCAGCTTTTTTTTTTCAGTTTTTATTATTAAGAAAAGATAAGATACCAAAAAAATAAAATCCCCTTCATCTCAATGTGACAGAAATGGGTGAAACAGAAGGAATGCGAATCCATAATGGTAATATAAAATAATAAATCATAAAATTTAAAAACATACAACCAGAAGTGTTGATAAATTTAAGAAATAAACCATTTAGTCACTGAGAAAGTTAGAACTAATAAAATATTTTATTAAAAATGGTGTGTTTGTGTGTGTGTGTGTGTGTGTGTGTGTGTGTGTGTGTTTGTGTGTGTGTGTGTATGTGTGTGTGTGTTTGTGTACACTACTGTACAGGTTTGTGGATGAGGCTCAGTGATGGAGCATTTGGGTAACATGACCAAGCCCTGAGTTCCAGCCACAATACCCAAGAAAAGCAGAGAAGAAGAGTGAGGGACAGGCATGGGAGAGCAGAGAGAGACAGAGACAAAGAGACAGAGAGGAATATATAGAAGAAAAAATTCTGTAATTTCCTCCCAAAACATTGTTTCTTGGGTTACTTCTGGAGTCTCGGGCTGAACTGATTGTCCATGTTGAAGTCCCACGGATGCTCTACAAGCATTTTACGCTGCTTAATAGAAGCTCATGGGCTCCAGACACTAACGCCTGTGAACACTAACAACCTCGGCGATGTAACGGAGATGTTCCATTCACAGAGGGAACAGAGTTAACCAACACTAAATGCAACTAAGGAAAAGAATAAAACCTTCCTGGAGTACCCAGCAAGAAGTGATAAGCACCTTAAGAACAGTGAGTACTGAGCAGTAAGGATGCCTTGCCGTCGGTGCCAGGACCAAGCCTTTCAGAGGACTCAGATGAAAACCCCAAGAATATTTGGAACACTAAAGAAAAAAATCTAAAAGCACATGGTTGGAAAAATACACTGAAGACCAAGGAGATTTTTGCTCAATATTAGAAATGAGGAAAGACTGGTCCTCCAGATGTTGAAACTAATTAAAACAATGTGGTTTCAGTGTAGAGCTGTAGAAAAACAAAATGGAACCATAACAGCAGAAAGCAGTGCCCAAATCCACCCAGGCCAATTTTACGTGGCTGGCTAAAAGGTTGTTCCACAGCAGCGCTGGAAAAACCAGTTCCCTGCACAGGGGAAATGTCAAATGTTGGCCCTATATCTTGCATGGTAATAACTTGTGGCAATACTTAAAAATTAAAAAATACAAATTGCCATAAGCAAAAGTAATAATAACAGAACAATTATGAATAAGAATGCTAACTTTCTGAATAATATACAGAAGACAGAATTCCCTTTCACATGAAAAGAATACACCATAACCAAACACAACCAGAAACATGAAAATCAGCCAGCATTTTAAAATCTTTTTGATGGCTTCTACTCCCATGGTGTATGTAAAACAAAGAAGAAATATATGACCACGTTAACAGATGACACATGGACACTCGGTTAAATCATCAACTCTCTGGATTTCTGTAAAGTGCTAGTTAGACTCTTTGGACATATCCAGACAATAAAACATTTGAAGTGTTTCAAGTAACGTCACATCACGATTAAGACTTGGAGTTTTCAGGGACTCATCTGTATTAGTTTTGAACTGCTGTATTATAATGATGTTTCAGCCAGCATTATACATTCTCCTATGCTAAAAAGTGGCCCACAGACCTTGGCTTACTTAAACTGAGGAAGCTGAGAAACCGTGGAAGGGGACATGATCTCACAAAGACTCCAACTCAACCAAGTTCAGAATCCAGAGATCAGAAACAAGTCTTGCCATTGGTCTGTTACTGGACCTCAGGGGACTTCTGGTATCTCGGTGTCCTCACTTGTGTAAGGGAAGGAAAGCCCAACCTGCCACAGCCAGCCATGGCCTGCCACAAAGCTGTAAGGAGTCAAAACCCTGAAGGTGGCCCACACAAGTGAGTTCCAGATTTTCACCTCCTCTTTTCCCTTGTGCTCTTAATCTGAGAACAAGTTTCATGGTGTGGTGGTGGCTGAAGTGTCTTGTAAAAGGCTGAGAAAATCAACATTTCTGGCAATCCTGGGGAGATGGGCCCCTCCTACTCTGGCTTTGCCTCAAATGGGGGCTGCCTCTTGGCAGCTTATCTGACCAAAATGCCAAGAGACACCCCCCTCTGGCTAGATTCTTGGGGTGATTCTGGAGAGGCTGCAGAAGGAGGTTCCCAATTCTGTGCCCAAAGCTGAAGGTCTCAGGTCACTCCTGTGCTGCACAGGGGTGGATCCAAAACAGCCTGAGTAAGAGTTCAATAACCGAGAGGACACTGAAACCTGTCTATACTAGAGATAGAAGAGTGGCCTCCCGGGGTTACAGTGAACTGAAGCAAAGGAAGGAAGGAAAAACCCCAAGAAACCCCAAGGTTTAAGCAACAAAAATAAAGCCACACCCTAAAAACTTATTCAACAAATAAATGCACCTAAAAATGTATGATCGGTTCTCATAGGGATTGTGACACCAGTCCCGAGACCTGAACGCAGTTACAGTGACCATCCTGTGAGGCACAGGCACAATTGGGACGAAGATAAAGATGAAACAGTGTTTGACAGAGGCATGAAAGTTTCAAGAGGAATCAAATGGAAATTTTAGAACTGAAAATGTAAATATCTGTAATTAAGTAAAGGAGCTCAATGGCTGATGGAAGATGACAGAGGGCGGGACCACTGACCCAAGAGACGGCAGCAGAAACCATCCACTAAGAACAGACAGAAAGACTGGGAAAGAGCTCAACCCACTTCAAGGCCATGTGGGGTGCACCTTGGGACTCCCAGAAAGCAGAGAGTAAATGCCACAGAACAGCAAACAAACAAACAAAAACCTTGCACAGCGGTGGTTGTGAACTTGCCAAATCTTGGACTTCAGGGTTCTCTCTTTAGCGAGAACGTGCAAGGAGAAGAGGAAACAATGGAGCCATGGCCTAGTCTGGGTTCTGTTTGGTGTCCATGGGAAGGAGGAGTGGTCTTACTCCCTTCTTCTGTGAAGAGGAATGGCATCTACTTTTGAAATGGGCTTCCTGGGCATCTCAGCAGCATGCATGCTGAGGGAGGAAGATTTGAAAGTGGAGTTGTAGATGGAAACAAAGGCATAGAGAGCCATGGGCAGTGGCTTGGACTTGCTGGTCTGAGCCAGAAAGCTTGTTAATTCTATTCTCATCTCTATAAAAGGGTGTTATCAGCTGAAGTCTTCCAGCCCTTCTTACACTTGCTAAGGTTTGGCTTGAGGACTGTAAATTGGACACTCAGTCCCCAGTATGGTGCCACTGAGAGGCAGCCACTAGGTGGTAGGGCCTAGGGGAAGTAACTGTGTCACTGGAAGATGGCCCTTGAGGAGATTAAAGTGGCTCTTGTAGGACCCAGAGTCTTTCCCAACTTAACTGTATGAAGAATGGTCCTAGTCATTGATACTCTGGCTTCCATCACACCATGTGGTCTCTGCTGCTGTGAAGTCATGTGTCACATCTGATGTCTATATAGATGCTGGCATATACTCCTGACTGTCCAGAAATGTGAACTAAATAAACCTCTTCATAAAGTACCAAGTCTGTGGTATTTTGTTAGAGCAACAAAAAGATGGACTAACCCTTCTCCTTCCTCTATTTCTTTTTCCAATATACCTATATTTAAGTATAGGTATCCCTACAGCCAGGAATCCCACGTCCCTACAGTGCTTCTCTTGTATGAACCATGGCTCATTTTTCAGAAAAAGTATGCAGTCACACAAATGCAAGAAGATTATCTTTTGTCCTTCCCATGCATCATGATAACTATGAATAAATGGCACGTGTCTGTCACCAATGGTCTTCATGTGTGCAGTGGGATGTGGTTAAATTTCAGAGGATGCTTGTAAAAGCTGACATTTTCCCATGCTCCATTGAAATTTCCTCCTAATGACTTGGTGCCACAACTTTCCTTTACTGTTCCCATCCTTGATAATGACACAGGGACACATTTCAGGCTCTTACCTTCCTAGTGGAATGTTCACTACATTTCTGAAACTCTAGTTTACAAAATAAATCCAATTCAAATAGGCGAAAACAAAATCCCCGAAGAACCTAATTTGCCAACATTTTGCTTCAACTCAGCAGATGGAGTTAACATTCAAATGCAAGGTTCATCTCAACATGGTCTAGTCATTTAAAACATTTCACCAGTGTCAGGAAATGTAATCAGAAGTCACTGCAGAGTGAGCCAGCAGAAGGGCCTACATGCAAAGGTAAAGACTCAAATTAAGAGAAAGCTCTTAGATAGAGCAATGGACCGCTGAGACACCATGTGGCACAAGTCTCAGGGCTCCTCAAGAAAACAGACTTTGAAATGGCATTTGTGGAGTCTCTTTACCTGTCCTCAGTTAGTTTCATTAAGGTTGTCCCTCGAGTAGAGAAGACGATGAAGGACATCCTCAGCTGTGGGCTGGAAAAGAAAAGAAACTTTGTTAAGTCAGACAGAACATCTGGAGCATGTCAGTCTCTTCCCAGCTTCCTTCCTGCCTTTATCTTTGTATCATGGCTCCCAGAGTCCTAGAGGGTGTGGCAAGAATTTAGGCAATGGCCAATTTGAAGCTCTGAACCAAAGGCACCTGCTGTGTCTCCCTTCTGACAGGACACTGTTACAGCGTGGATATATCACAGTAAGAAAGATGAACTCCATCCCAACCCAGGACTGTCTACAAGTATCTTTGAGATGGGGAAACCTGTCACATTAGTCTGACAGCCTCTCCGAAAGAAGGGAGTATCTCAGAAGGATCACTGTTCACTTAGTTCCTTCTCAGCAGCCTCTGAGGGAAGAGGGAAGAGGGGCTGCTGGGCCACAGAGTCTCTTCTGTTCAGTGGCTACATGACTTATTTGGTACCTAAAAGTTTTCAGTGTGAAATTCACTCTCTGGGTAGCAGGGCAGTCTCATCTGAGGACTGGCAAGAAGCACCAGTAATCTGCACAGGGTTTGACAATTCACTGCCATTCTGCTGGCCCTCATGGGGAGGCCAACTGGTCAACCAGCATAGAACCAACCTGTGTCTTCACAAGGCACTGGCCACAGAGCTGAGCTGGCTCTGATTGTTGAACACATAGACCTCTTTTCATCACTTAGCTTCAGGCCTGAGCCTCAATCACCTGACCATCACAGCTGTCTCCTAGCACCAGTGCTGACTCTGCTGCAGTCTCCATGCCACTCTCCAAATTATTTATCATGAAACATAAAATGCTATAAAAGCTTTGGCTACTCTTAGGATGAAACTTCCATTATTTCTATGTGCTTGACATATCTTTGATTGGAGTTTTTCTGTGACTGTTTTAGCAGAGAGGAGAAGCAATGGAAATTAGATAGGGATGAAGGAGTCAGAAGGAAAGTAGAAGTTAGAAGAGGAACAAAGACATCCAAGAGCCTAGAGTCAATGGCATGGAATGGACAAAGTAGGAGAATTCCCTTAAAGGGAGGCAGCTGGCCCTCGTGGATGGGAGGAAGGAAATGCATGCAACCCTTAGGAGCAGGACTGGGTGCTAAGGGAATATCTATCTGTTTCCTTCTAGGCTCTCAGTGACCAGGAAATGGGTCTATTTTCTGAGAGTGATGGATATGAGGTATCGGTCTGGAGTTCAAGGAAAGGGTGAAGAATAAGAATTGTTCTTAGGAAGGTGAGGGAGTCAGAATAAAGGGATATTAAAGGAATTCAGCTCAGAAGGATCCTCTGCAGTCAGTAGTGACATATTTATGCTAGAATCAACCGACATTGTTGTTTGGGTTCCCTCTACTCCATAGTATACTACTTAAGGAATAAATAAAATCATTCAGCGTTTTGAGAAACTCCCATTGATTTCCATAGTAGCTGCATCAATTTATGCTCCAACAACAGTATATAGGGATTCTCCCTTCCACATGTCTTCACCAACATTTGTCTTCTTGGTAATGGCCACTCCATCTAGGATGAGATGGAGTCTCAAAGTAGTTTTGATTTGAATTCCCCTGATACCTTTTTTGATTTTGTTTTGGTTTTTTTTTTTTTTTGAAATCTCTCTGCTCAATTCCATTTCCTTAGTTTTTTTTCTTAGTGATCACTTTTTGAGTTATTTGTATGCTTTGGAGATAACTCCTCCTTCAGACCTGTAGCTGGCAAAAGCTTTATCTGCCTTTGCCTTTTTTTCACTTGATTGACAGCTTCCTTTGCTGTTCAAAAGCTTTTGATTTCACAAGGCCCCACTTGTTAATTATTTGCCTTATCTCTTGAGTAACTAGAGTCCTGTGCAGAAAGTCCTTACCTATACCTATGTTTTGTAGTGGTTTCAGAGTTTCAGGTCTTCAGTTGAGTTCCTTGATCCATTTGGAGTTTATTTTTGTTCAGGGTAAGAGATTTGGATCTACTTTCATTCTTCAACATGCAGATAATCCAGTTTCCCCAGAACCATTTGTTGACAATGCTATTTTTTCCCTCCACTTATTCAAGAGTGTACCTGGCACTGCTAACAGTCCTTGGGCTGTTGCAGAAACAAAACTCTGTGACAGTCTTGGCCCCTGCACACAGGGGGTCTACTATGGTCTGGATATGAAGCATTTCCTTAAAAAACTTATGTTTTGAAGCTGATGCAAGCGACATTCAGAGATGGGGCTTCAGAGAAGCAATCAGATTGAATCACAGGACCGTACATTCATTGATGGCTCAATCCATTGATGGATTCAACATTTGAACAGTCTGTTGAGAGGCAGAGAAACTGTGGAGGGTGGAATAAGTTGGTCCTGGGAACATTCCCTTGAAGTTCTGTTAGGTCTCCAGTCCCTGCCTGATGCTGCCTCTGCTTCCTGCCCAGCATGAGGGAAGCAGTGTTGCTACACCACATGCTTGGGTGAGGAAGCTCTACCTCACCACAGTCTGGGAACAGTGGAGTTAGCATGTCACGAAACCTCTGCAATCATGAACCCAAACAAAATTCCCTCCTTCTAGGCTGTTCTCCAAGGGGTTTGTCACAGAGACAAGAAATATGACTGACACAGAGTCCACAGCCAAGGGATCCACAGGGAGGAGGCCATAGGAAAGCACCTTGAGGTCTAAGAGTAAACCTTGGAGATGTTCCTGGTTTTTTCTTTCTTCATATGTAAAGCAGGGGACTGGGGTAAGTGCTCTCTCATAGCCTCACCCGTGTCTTTGATTTTAATATAGTGAGGAGTATGGAGTTGCTGATGGGCCTGGTGGACAGTGCTGGATGCCCACTTCCATGTAGATACTGGGCAATTGGGTGTGCACACACGTCATCTTTGTATGTTTCTTTTATGGAACCTCAGCTTCAGCCAAGGTTAAGCCAATGGCTAGGGTTGCACAGGGAGCTCAGATTCAAAACTCATCTCGCCCAACTGGATCCTTTCCTACTGGTTCCTCTGCTCAGAGGGAGAAATGAGGACAGCTAGTGGAGACAGAGCAGAAGCTATCAAGGACTTGGATGTAGATGTGCTTTATGTCACTTCAAAGGGTCACTGGGTAATAGTGCAGGACAGGATGTTTGGCTCCATAACAAAAAAGGCTTTAAAGTGAAATGATCCAAAAGGCAGAAGTTTCTCACCAAAGTTTTCAACATGAGGCTCCCCAGATGTCTCTCAAGCTAGACTGGGAAGTCTCTCCTATCAATTCAAAGTTCAATGATTTCTCTAAATGTTGTATAACATCACACATACACTGTCTCTCTCCCGTCTGTACTTCTCCATGTTTTTCTCTCAACCCCCACTTTCCTAAGTCACCTGGGTTTAGGTGATTCCTGCAGCAGATTTGAGGCCACCCTTCCTTTCCTGTTATGGAGTTAAGAGCATGTTGCTCAATAACTAATTATGGGAGGAGACTGTGACATTACCCTGGGCTCAGAGGACCCTGTACTATAGAAGTGGACTGAAGGGTTTTGTGCTCACTCACATTGGTCTCCATGGAGACCATCTACCACCAACAAGACTGCATCAGCACCCACAATGCTCACACCAGCTGCACCAAGGTCCTTGACAATGTGCTGCAGATGCATCCATGAAAGCTGTGTGATCCCACAGTGTGATGTCACCTCCTTTACTAGCGGGTATCCTTAAGTAGCACCTCCACAGTTCATAATGACTGTACTCAAACCCGTCTGGGAAGATGAGGTCAAGTCTACGGAGAGAAGATGCAGGGGCATGTGACTAGCCACGGCTTGCTCAGGGCTGTGGTGTTTTCATATTAAAAACCAGAAAGTTTGTAAGCAAACTGGCACGAGCTGGTCACCTAGCGTTTTGTGACACCTTATGCACAAGTCGGCTCAGTGTGCATTCCCACAGTGTCTGGGAGTTATCGGAACAGCAGATGGGCTGGATTCACCAGCAGCAGTGAGAGAAGGGATTCTGGAGTGACACTCACCTGATGAATCTATGAGCCAGCTGCTCCACGAAGTAGTAGATTTCATTCCAGTGGTGCAGCACGCTTCCTGACCTATGGGACAAAGTGGCATTCTGTTAGCACTTTGAGCTGTTTCTTTTCAGTTCTGTGTAGAACCAACCCATTAACTGGGTCCCTTCATTTCCTGAAACTGGTGTAAATGTGGAAATTATCTAAAAGGCTGTTTTAAAAGTTTTGAAGAATTCCTCCAAATCCATCTCCCATTGCCAGCCTGTCCTCCACTCCAAACTCTTACAATGAAGCAAAGCAGACAAATAAAAATCCTGGGGCCCAAACAGACCACAGGCTGGCTCCAGGTCTTAATGGCCCTGTTACATTTATGTGCTCCTCTAAGAGACCCTATTCCAATTCCATTGAATGGAGTTAGCAAAATGACTGTGGCAGTTTGAACAAAAATGGCCCCCATAGACCCGGAGGGAGTCTATTAGGAACTGTGGCCTTATTGGAGGAAGTATGTCACTGGATGGGTTTTGAGGTTTCAGATGCTCAGGCCAGGCCCAAAGTCACACTCTCTCCCTGCTGCCTTTAGATGCAGATGTAGAACTCTCAACTATTTCTCCAGCCCCAAGTCTGCCTGTGTGCTGCCATGCTTCCATGACAATCATAGGCCTGTCCCAATTAAATCTTTACTTGTTAAAGCTGCCATGGTCATAGTTTCTCTTTACAGCAATAGAAACCCGAACTAAGACACTGACGAAACAAATGACACAGCAAGTCTTATTTCATTTGTACATACAGATATCTGTAGAATTTTAAAATAAATTGTTGGAGAAATGAATCTAGCAGGTTACCTAAATAATAATTGGCCAGTTGGTGGAATTCATTTTAAGGGACTGAAAGTTAAGCATGCAGGAAAATCTCTTGAACCTAATGTGGTTATTCAGAACAATGAAGAAAATGGCTCAGCTTCTCACTATATCAAAAGGCAACGCACTCACCCAAGAGAGGGAAAAGTGTTCTCTGAAAATAGGCAGTTGTGGGATTTTGACTTGGAAGGTTTTTTTTTTTAAATCTCCTGAATCTGATATTGCTTTATGATCTTATTCCCATCACCTTGATTTAGTCTGTTTCCCCACAGGGTTCATGCTCAGACTCTCATAGTGGGACTATCTTAGCCTTTGTCTACTCAAATCTCTTATGCCTTTTCCCTTTCACACACAGATCTGCCCAGCAGAGTCCCCGTCTGCCTGCCCTTCTGATAGCTGAGGCTGTAGTTTGCTTTCTGCTCTGACACTTCATATTGCAAACATTTTCCACTGGTGTCTGATGACATCTATTTATTTATTTCTCTGTGTTATGTGGTTACATGTGTGTGCAGACATGTGTGCACATTTGCATGGGTGTGTATGGTGGGATATACACGCACATGCAGTGTGATCTGAGGCCAAATGAGGGCATCAGATCCCCTGGAGCTGAGCTGAACTTACAGGAGGTTGTGAATCCACTAAAGTGGGTGCTGGGAGCTGAACCTGGGTCCTTTAGAAGAACATTGAGCTCCTTTAACCACTGAGCTGAGCCAACTCTCCAGCTCCCTCATTACAGAATATTCTTTTTAAAAAAGAATTATTTGTTTTTATTTTATGTGTGTAAGTATTTGCCTGCATGTATGTAAGTGTACCACATGCGTGCTGTACCTATGGAAGCCAGAAGTGGGCAGCAGATCCCCTGCAGATAGAGTTGAGAGCCATCATGTGGGTGCTGGGAACTGAGCTCTGGTCCTCTACAACAGCAGCCAGTTCCCTTAACTAAGAATTCTCCTTTTACTTCCATCTCTCTGAAGAGAATTTATTTTTCTGTTTCACTTCTTTTCACCCAGAAATGCTCAGTTTGTGCCATGTAAATGAAACTGATTCAGCACACCAGGGAGGGATCTGTATTTAAGACTGTACACTAGTAACCAGGTGTCCCAAAGGTCATAGGTGTATACTGTACACAGGACACAGAAGCAGAAAGAAACGGGGTACCATATGCTTAGGGTCTGGGCTGTCCCCACAACCCACGTGTTAAAAGCTGTGCCCAGCTATGCACTGTGGGAGGAGTGGATCCTGTCTAATAGCCTAGTCACTGGGGACGGGGCTTTAAGAGGGATCATGGATGCTGGTCTCTTCCTCAAACTGTGTACCAACCCTATGCTATGCAGTGAAGCACTTTCTTTCCCTTTCTTCTTCTTTTCTCGGTAGGTATTATTCTAGGCCTTTTATTTTTTATATTTAGTTTAATTATTTTGAAAATTTCATACACATATATATAATGCACTTTTGTTCATTTTTTTACACCAGCTCCCCTCTTCTGTCCCCCCCCCAACCCTGCCACCCCCACTGAGACACTTTCTCCACCATTCTCATGCTGCCTACCAGGAATGACCGCTAAACCATGAGCCCCAGGAAATCTTTCCAGTGTACCACATTAACGTCAGACCTCCTTTAGAAACCGGGCCACAGAGAGTGGAGATTCAGGTCCTAGAGAGAGGAGCCCTTTAACACACCGTGTAACAACGGGGTTTCATACCTAACAACCTTAGCTGAACCCAAACTCCCACTCAGGAGGCTGACCTGTCACAGCCACAGCCCTCCTCCCCAACCCAGGACTAATAGGTTAGCACTCTGTTCTTCCTCCTCCCTTCTGGAAAATACCCACGGGAACCAGGGGTGGGGGTGGGGGAGCTCCTGCCTCTTCAGTAGTGAAAAATGCATATTCTTTGACTTTGCAGGCTCCATTCTGCGCATCTGCCCTTGCTTGGCCTTGTGACTGATTTTCTGGTTTGAAACTACCACAGAGGCTGGCCACTCCCAGCATAACTGACCCCTGGTAGCTCAGAAGTGGCCGTTCTCACTCAGAAGCAGATTCCTGATCCCAACAAGGAGAAGCCGGGTGTTGGCTGGGAAAATGGCAGCTTGTATTCAAGTTCGACTTTTCTCCACCCAACTGTGTGTTGTTAATCTTATATGATATCTTACGTGTCACACGTGTCTGGTTAAGACTTACTACCTAAATCCAAGCTGTGTTGGACTAACCTAGCCATTGCTATCCATGCTGCAAGTAGAAACAAAAACTTCCTCTTAAACTCAAATATAAATGGAACCAAAAGATGTTTTCCATTGGATTTGGTGGGTTTGAGTGGTGACAGGGTTGGTCAAGGGTCTCTTCTTGGGATTTTGTGTCTCTATTCTGCAAGTATAAATTTCATCAAAATTTGGAATTAAAATAGCCTCCCAGGGGTTCTGCCTGGAGACAGCATTGCAGAATTCTCTGTTGAAGATTCATTTGATATACTTGGGATCCAATCAGAGCCAAGATCAATGTCCTCTTCCAGTAGCTACTGAGATGGGTTTCTGAAAAAGGGCTCACCATCCCCCAGGGAGGGAAGCCACCAACGTCCACTCTAGGTCTCTAAGAACGATCACTGCTGAGGGCAGTTCCAAGGCTCCTTACTTACTTTTGTTTTTCTAGTTTGTCTCCAGCATTTGAAATACAATAAGAAGCCAAGAAATATTTGACATCACACTCTGTGGGGGGTTCTGTATAGAACAACCTGACATTGCTCTCAGTCACGTCCAAGGCCTAACACACAAAGAGAGGGGGCAAAAGCAGAACCTCAAATGTTATCATTTGTTTTCTGAACAAAACTGCATTCTTTCTGTTTCTGAGAATTTCTAACCCTCCTGAGGTTAAATGCCTTAGAAAACACATTTGCTATACCAGCAACCAGAGGGTAATGAAAAAGGAAAGCAAGCGTGTGGCTGGCTCCACCACCAGCAACCTCTTACCCAGGGAGGGCAGAGTAACTAAGATAGAGATTACAAAATGGTCAGGCCCCACTCATCCTTAGTCCCATCTGGCTTAAGACATTGATGCCAGTGGCCTTCTTGGGGTCCCAGACAATCCTGGGTGGGTATGGATATGTTCAATAGACTTCAGGGACACTGGGTGGACCCAAAATTAGCGCCAAAGGCCACTTGCCACTGTACTCTTTCCCAGCTTCTCCCCACCCTCTCCTCTCCTCTTCCTAAGAAGCTGGAGCCCATTGTGGCCCAGGCTTATCAGTTGTTTTCTGTGGCCACAGCCAAGTCTCCCTCCTGGACCTTGTTGACTCTTGCTTGCCCTTCTCCAGACACCAGTTCCAATCCAAACCATGCCACTGGACATGTTTCTTTGTCCTTTGTCTGGGGACACCCTCTAGGGCTGTGAAGCCTCTACCAGCCGTGATGTTCAACTTCTCCCCACTGCCATGTGACTTCCCCTTAGTCAATCCAACTGATGGCTTTGAAAACAATGACGCGTACACTGCAGAATGCAGCTAGAGAGTTGGGAAATCAGCTATTGGGATATTGCCAGCTTTTTTCTTTCTCAAAGAAATGAAGCAAAATAAGATTGAAAAACCAGACTGTGCTGTTGAAAGTAACCGAAAACAGCGCTGTAGGGAACTTCTGGTCGACTGTAAGCACCATCCAGGCGCCATGTTAGGATATCAGGGTTTTTCTGTGGATGATGATTCAGTAGGTATTTTACCCAGAGAGGTACTCCCTTCTCCTCCACTCTGCCTTTCCAACACACCTATCCCACCCACCCCCCCACACACATGCAAATTCATGTGCACACACATATACGCATATCACACACATATACACACACAAGCACGCTCACATGCATAACACATACACATGCATACATATACACACCACACACTGAGACTCTGCACAGACACACCACACAAACACCACACACACATACACCGCACAGACTCTCACACACACACACATGCACATCACACAAATATATGCACACAACACACACTAACACGTATGTATACACATGTATGCATGCACACACACCCAGACATGCATGCACATACACTGCACACACTTATATGCACCCACACATGAATGTACACACATATGCACACAACCAAAAAAAGCTTACACACATTTTTGACATGAGCTACTGGTACTTTTGTCACAGATTCAACACAAAAGTGACACCCTTGTTAAGACAGAAGTATTAAATTGCCTTAAGAGGTGCTTCCGCAGCTGAAC